AAAAATGAGAAGAGTAATGCTACATGATCTGGTTGAACTTAATATCCTTTTCATGCTGATATTCATACTGGGTAATGACAAAAATATGAATAAACAACATCACTATATTAACTCTTCTAAAGCTTCCAACATCTCCAAGAAGCAATCATAAACACCAATAACTCCTTTTATATATATATCATAAATCATGATTATATAATCCTCAAAAAAGCATTTAATATCTTAGCAATTAATTCATTCAGATCTAATATCATAGTTTTCATATGACCTTATATCATACAACTATAGTAAACTATTTCACATCTATCGCATCATTTCAATAAAATATTATTCTTATCTCCAACTACTTACAAAACCATAATTACCATGTTTCACTTTATAATTTCCAAATTACAAAGCTCTAACCAAATGGAAAAACTTATACATGCCTATAAATTTTTACATATTACACGCACTCCAATCTACTTATGACCAAGTAGTCACTTCTTCTTTGACTGGTTACTCCTCAAGTCTGCAAGTAGCAATCAAACGATTTTCAACCTGCGCGTGAATAAAAATCCGACGCGCTGAAGTATAAAACTCAGTGTTCCTCATACTGTCACATAACTAAACCAAATGCGATCCAACTAACTTTCAAATACCAATTCCATAAAGCATTGATACTCATAGAATCAATAATTTCAACATGAAGTTCTCTTTGTAGCAACGAATAAACTTCCAACTCAATAAACATAATTTAATCTACTTCCTTCTCATCACTCCTTTTACATGAAACCTTAAATTACACATTATGAATACTAATCAGGGTCTTCCTGCTGTTCATGGTGGTTTGTTATGCATGAAAATCAATAAACAAAGGAAGAATTACTTAACAGTATATGTTTCATTGTCTTCTTGCTATTCATTATGCTGTATGACTCCATGCACTTTTAGTCAACATCATATAAATTACGATTAATAACATCTCATGACTGTATGGCTCTTTAACAGAAATCAATAATTAAACATGCAAGCCATATATATATAGCATCATACTTTTCATGATCTTACCTGATGGTCTTTATATGTATGAGCCTCTGCAACTTTGATTAAACTTCAGTAAATTGAAAATTGAAGAAACATATAAGCACATACATATGTGGAAAATAAATACACATTTATTCACATATGGAATGTAAGCACACATATCATGATAATTTTCATGTTTAACTTGATGATCTTTCCTTGCTGTTTAGTATACTGTATGATTTATGCAATTTGTAGTCCAATATAACTGTATAGCTCCATAAGGTTATAGGTGAAACCTAAAGTGGATAAGATAACTGTATGAAACTGGATGAAACTGTAGCTATAGGCCCCTAACCGGATTCGCCTATGCCCAATATTGTCCGTTTTTGGGTGCCCCTTAACCGGAATTTGCACCGCAACGTTTAATCATATCCCACTCAACGGCCTGTAAGCCGGAGTTCCAAACTGTATGAGGCGCAGATCTGCTATTCTATGTCCGCGACAATTTAGCCTTATCTACATGGTTTCTACCCAACCTCAATGGAGCTTAATATTAACAATGTCAACCAAATATAACCACAATAGCATATAAATGGTTGCCATAACTGGCATAATTCATCATGTTGATTTGATTTCAACATCAATATGAATGCTTGCATGTTGTGTTTTATCCATGTTCTTATGCTGTAATTGTTGTTGTAAAATGAATTGGATGCATGCCGTGTTGAGCCAAAGGAATGTAATTACATACAATGAAAGGCAAAAGAGTGTCACGAAGCATAAGTTCCGCGATCGCGTATGTGAAAGTCGCGAGCGCGACTTGTGCATCCTGAAAGTCAGTAGGGTTTCTGGCTGAAGTCGGCGACCGCGCAGCAAAAGTCGGCAGCGGCGAGATGTAAGTCGCGAGCGCGGCTTGTGTGTTTGCGGCGCGAGATGCGCACACTGGAGAGGTCAGAGAAAGCTTCTGGCCAAAGTCGCGACGCAGCGCATGTGGATCCTCGCGAGCGCGAGTTGTACAATTGAGAGTCAAGAGAGCTTACCCTGATCAAGTCGCGACCGCGCATGTTAAAGCGCGAGCGACTTGCCTTTCCAGACCGCCGCGAAGCGCGCGAACGTGTTTCCAGATTGTGCAATCTGTGGTTCTTTTTTGACCAATAACTCTCACTACACAACTTCAAATTGAATGATTCAAAAACTCAGTAAAGATAACAATAGAGAACAAATAACTCTCTATAACACTTTCTAATTCCCATCATTTTCTGGGGTCAAAATCAAGATGAAGTTGCTTGGTAATTTCCAGGCAAACTCCTGTTTCCACTTCAAATTATTCATCCCCCTGTTTTCACATCATGGCCACTCTTTCTCACTCAACAATAAGCAACCTATCATCTCACTAGCAACACAATCACACACTGGGACTCTGCTTTAGCTTCTCTTTTCTGCGACTTTTTGAACTTTCTTCTCCTAATACAACAAGAATTCTCATAATTCATCTCCAATATAAACAGACTTAAAGAGTGAATAACATAAAATTCAAGAATTCTACTTACTTGGAGTTGACTTAAATGCTTAAACTACGTTTGAAGAGTGAAAAGGAAAAGAGCGGGACAAGTAAGAAGGAGAATGATAAACATTGAAATAGGAACTTGAACTGATAAGACGGGTAGTCTCTAGAAGACGTGAGTTGGCTTGTGTAACATATCTAATTGGTACGCGTCAAGTATACCAAAGGCTACAACTTCATACCCAAGCTGCGTTATTGTTTCTATGACTGCAACAGTCCAAACTTTACATTTCACATAAGTCCACTTATACTCTCATTTCTACCCAACAAGGTTTGATTCAACCCATACTCAACTTACTTCCTATAAATGAACTCAACTCAATCACTAGGAATGTTACACACACAATAAGCTTTAAACTACTTTCAGAGATTAAGGTAATTAAATTCATGTAACGTTTAACTTTTAGCAATTTTAAAATGAAAAGTTACTCAAAATAACTTACAACTAACCCGTACTAAAACAGTTACACTACAAATAACTAAATTTTACCCGAACAACCCCTAAATGTAAACTTTTTTTTGAAAAGAAAAAGTTGGCATATTTAAGTAATCCATTTTTGTATATAAACAGAGAAAACAACTAAAATTTATCCGTAAAATTTGAAAGTTTCTTTTAATGATCTATAAATATTAATCATTTTGTTTCTTTTTTCCTAAATGGGTTAGAAATATCTGTTTGAACCAAAATTGATTTTGATACATATAGATAAATTTTTCCGTAAACTGTAGTATCTTGAATAAAATAATATAAATAATAAATAAATAAATAAACAAAAAGACTTTTGTAAAACATTCCCTAGTTGAGAGTATCTTCTCTTGCTTTCTTGTAATGATGGTTTTAGCTTTTTCTATTCCAATAATATGAGCTAGAGATTAGGTTTTCTTTCAAAAAAATAAAATAAAACATTCCGCCTTTAAGAAATTAATATATATATTTCCTCAATTTATTGTAAATATATAATATTTTTTTTTTGAAAATGCAAATTTAGTTATATATGAATAGAAATCAAAAGCCAAAGCATGCAAATATAATACTTGGAGAAATAACCACACTAATGTAAATAATTGTTTAAGAGTTCAGTGTAGACCAAAATATTTAAACTTCAAAGACTTATAACAAAATTATATAACCCTAATGTGTCGAACACTTAACATATAAAATTGAACTGGCTTCTGAGAAATATTAATTAGTTCTTCAGTAATCATTCATACAATAATTTAATTCCTCAATAATGGTAAATTAAATTTTAGACTTAATAGCAAAACTTGGCAAAATTGCAGAAGTTTTTCGAA